AGCTTGTTGAATGCTGGGACTCTGCACACCTGGGAATTAATAGGATCTCAATTTGAACTGCACTTTCCTAGTTGTCAGTATTATTACTAGGAGTTTCACTATTGGGTAGCTTTCTAGCCAGCATTACGTGCCACCTTTTGAATGTTGTCTACCTATACAATTGCCAGGTGGTTTATGCTGCATTTATTCTTTATTGATTAACTTCTGTACAATTTCTTGTGTGTGATTACTGGTTCTTGGGTGCCACCAAGTTGGGATGCAGTGGACCCATCATATCCACAACCAACAACTACGGCTGAGCTACATTAATTTGCAATTATTCATACTTACCCGACTAAAAAAAAATATTTCTAAATTGTATTTTTTAGGCTTGACAATAATAAATAAAGCTAGTGGTACATTGAAACTCAGAATATCCCAGCTGTCTTGCATCCCTACTGCATATCAGACACAATAAGACAGATAACATTTTATTACAGATTGTACTGGAGACCGGTCCATTATACGTTAAATGTACTTTTTCTCCATTTGTAAACACAACGGCTGCTATGATATTAAATTACTCCTTGGAGCTGATTTTTACAGCAACCATTTCTTTATATTTCCCTGGAGGAGGGAGACAGCACATCTGCACTTCATGAATGATCTCCACACTTGAAAAGAGAAGAAAGTGTGGAATTAAACAATGGACAGAAAGTCTTTCTTGCAGGTCTATGTAAATGGTAAACCAAAAGGGAAACAAGGGTTTTACTAAGGCATTTTATTACAGCTTAATGCTGTCTCACTTCCTGCATGAAAACAATAGAATTATTTTCCTTAATTCTAGATTAAATTACTTGGCTTTACCGAATATAAAATATATTTTTTTATTAAAATTACACTGCTGTGAAACATGGAACAATATCAAATCTCCTTGCCAAGAAAAAAAAATCCTTAAAATGTAACTACTTGCTAAACTACTTTACCATTTTAGGGTTCTACCAACTCAAAAAAATCACATAATATGATCCCTCCAATGCATCTGCTTGCAATTCATTTGGAGTAAATACCTGACCAAGGGTTTCTAAGAAAATATTTCTTCTATCTATACACAAGGAAGATTCATCAGTTGCATATATCTCCAGTTATTATTATGAGGTCCAAACAGTGCAGTTGACTTCAGCTTTGTGGGTGACTCCAGTAGCATATGAAGCTCCCCCTCTTCTGAATAGATATTCTCCACTGGACTCCCATCCCTACACTCCCTTAAACAGGGGATAACTTTAAGTATTCTGGAAACTTAATACATCCCACTAGCCACCATAAACCCCAAACCCTTCACTCCCGCCTGATCTCAAAGAATCCCCTCAGGTTTGAATGATGGATGAAAAAGGGATTAAAATAATGATATCATCTTACTACCCCAAACAGACCTGTAAATTTCGATAGCTTTGAACCAAATTATAAGGCACCACCAGCAGAGATATTTTTGGTATTTGTAAAAATGCTTCATAACCAAGAGTGGTGGGAACTCTACCTTCCTTAAAACACTCACCTCAATGATCCTGAAGCATGCAGCATAATCTGAACTGTGTACATATCAATTGTGGAGGGGCATTGCTCATACCCTCTCCAAATGTGGACCAAAAAAAAAAAAAGATGACTTCACGCTGCTCAAAAAATGTTACAGTCATGAAAGCCAACTACAAACTCCCCATGAGTTGGTACATGGTACCACACAGCTACATTTGCAACAGGCTTCTCTTCTACCTTCTACCTTTCTTTACCTTCAGTAAAGAAAATTTGTTGTTAAGTATCTCTGCCTGGTCTGAAGTTATTCAACAGTACAGTAAAGGGGTGCATGCATGGCGTATCATACCACATGGTCACATTTAGGGGAAAAACATTGCAAGGGGAAGATACAGTGCAGGTGTCCTGAGAGCAGTACAAGGGCCCAACTATGGATAGCAGCCAACCAGCCAGGAAGCCGAGTTTATTTGGTGTAGGTGACAGAGGTCCCTGGTAGTGAAGGAACCTGTGTGCTGGGCCTCATTCCCTAGCAATCAATACCTAAAATTGGATCTGATTGTGGTACAGGGACTCTGGTCGGAGAAGTCTTGGACAATCAAGTCATCTGTGTTACTTTGTAATTTCAGAGCAGAGGATGTGACAGTGTGAAGAGAAGAAGTAAAGAGATTAATGCAGATAATGGTGTCACTGGTAGAGGTGATGGGTGCTGGGCTGGTTGAGAAAAGTACAAGCTGGGTGGCACCAGCTCAGAAATGTTGCATGGAGGGAGATGTGTGCCAAAGAACTTATACCTGTGGTGTTGAGCCAGAGAAAAGAGTGAGTCAAGTAACAGAACCCAAGAGACAAGCTACATGTCTGCCAGGGAGAAGTGTCACTCATAAAGGAGAGTGCTGCCTTTAGACCATACCCTGTGTTCAGGCAAATTCCACTTTCCTGCGTTCCCACATGAACCTACTAACAAGCAGATGGTACTGCCCACCAAAAGTGATGGGGAATCATCTTTGCAAGCCACCATGCAAAGCATCGTGGCCATGGCATGTGTACAACCCTGTCCACTATATAAGTGAATAAATATAATGGCGCCTATGGAGAGAGTAAAAATGTGGGTCACTAACTGATATACCAGCTGCAAAATCCACCATAAATAATAAGATGTGTAGTACAAGTCCAAAAAAAAGTGCACGAAAAATGTGACAATCCACCACCAAAAGCACTAAATAAACTCACCAGAGCTATAAAAAACTGAAGCATATATTGCTCTGGGAGCGATGGTATTAGCAGAGTAATGAACCACTCATGTATGTGTCTTCAGGGAGTAATATTCTGCAGAACCCAGCTCCAAGCAGACCAATTTCAATGAAGCAATGCTCTATAATTAAATACCACTGAGGAAATCCACTTCTCCAAGAGATCACTTTATTCGTATCCAAAAGGGGTAATACCAGACACTCGGAAGAAATAACAAAAACTTCATGATGCAGTATTTTTAAAAAACAGCTTCATTTATTATGCACTCATTGCACTTAACTCAAAGGGTGTCCCAGCCGACACCAGCGTTAACAGCATATAGGAATCACAATGAAACGAACCCAGCCACTCGGCACATGCGCAGTAGAAACGTAATGACATCACATCAATCAAGCCCCGCCCTACGCGTTTCGTCATCGACGTCCTCACGGAGCGGTTGGATGTGAGACGTCGCAACCTCATTAAATATGCACTGCATTGGGAACGATCAGCTGTCATCCACTGCCTTTGCAGCTTAAGGGGGATCAATTTGGGATGCGGTACAAGCTCGGCACAACCATGTGTTTACCACCGAACTTGAAGTGTGAACCTAGCCATAAAGTAACACTAAACAATATCTTTATTCTTCAAAAATAATTACATACACTTCCACTACAGGGTACTGGAAGTAGTCTGTGGAATCATTAATTAGCCTTATTGTTTTCAGACTCTTCTCCAAAAGTACCTTCTTTATACTGTAGATATATGCTCGATAGCTAGATGCCTGCACAACACAGATAGCTAGCCATTCACTTGGATCTGGGCCACAGAAAGTGTGAGACATGAATAAGTGTAATGCAATATACAGAGTTCTTTAATAGCCTATGTAATAAGGTTTCTGGCGCATTCATTGCTTTATCTACAGAATATGATTAGTAAGGCAATATGGAGTAGGAAGTGGGAACCATTAGGTAGATACATTGCAGAACGAAAGCTACATAAACAAGTGTTTTCATTTCCTTTTAGCATTAAATACTGACCCTATGAGATTAAATTAAACTGAAATGCAGACGCTGAAAACAGATTCAGACTATTTACAAATATTTTTCATAGAAACTGTTGTAAATTGTTGGTGCAGGCACATATATAAAACCACCATACCATACATATAATTATGTGTTCATTAAAAAATACTTAACCATGTTCCCCAGGCCTTTTTCTTCCTAAATCCCCTTGAGTCCCAAAGCTATTTTTTTTTCTTATTGGGGATGTCTCAGTTCTGCACATTATGTCTTTTAGGTTTGATAGTCCATGCTAATGTATTATACATCTTTCTGTTCAGGATAGATAGATCTTTAATTTGTTAGCAAATATGTATATATGTTTATTCCCTTACTTTATTCTTTTTGTGAATAAATAGTATAAAATATATAAAATAAATGTATTTTCTTGTAGTTTTTCCCAGCACAATGTTTAAGTAATTTGTGCACCCCCATATACAGTATAATCAACAAAGTCTGCCAATTAAAATGATATCACATTAATGTGACTTTTATATAGAAAGCCAGTGCCAGATTAAACTCTGTGGTGGCCACTAGGCAGTCAAAATCTTGGGGCCCCCTCTCAAGTCGTTGAAACTTTCTTATACGTGTGCTCTAGTGGGATAACATTGAACAAAGTACATCACTATTGTACAGACAGATGTAGGTTGCATCTAAATTATTTTACAAATTGACAGCAGAAGGAAGATGAGCTTTTACGAGACAAATTGTAAAGTGAACCTGATGTCTATGGTTTAAGTACTTTACGTTGTTATTGGGTACCTTACATTAATACAATATTTTCTCTTAGTTTTCATTTCTTTAAGTTGATTATTTTTTCTATCTTTTGTAAACAATTTAAGAAAGCTTAATTGTAATTTTCTTTCAAAATCAAAGCAATATTATTTTAATCCATTATCACGGGCCTTTAAACTGCATGAGGCCCATAGGCCGGTACCTACTCTGCCTATTTGGTAATACAGCACTAGGTAAAGCTCAAAGTGAATATATGCGTTTTACTTAACCGCCTCCCACTCGCCATATAGTAATATGACAGACGCAAGGCGGTTCTCTCGTTCTGGGAGGACATCATATGATGTCCTCCCATTCTCACCGAGCATGCGCGGCTCCCGGAGCGCGGCGATCAGCGGTGCGCTGTGTCCCTCGGACACAGCGGATCACTGATCCACGGAAAGAGACGAAGATGTTGGCTCGGTCATGTGATCAGCTGTGTCCAATCACAGCTGATCACATGTAAACAGGGAAATGCCAGTTGTCGGCATTTCTCTCCCCACGAGCTGTCACACTGACAGCTCGTGAGGAGAGGAGAGCCGGTAATCGGCATTCCTCAGAGGGGGACATGTACAGAGATCAACAGGGCACTGATGATCAGTGTGCCCTGATGATCAGTGTAGCCCCAGCAGCGCCACCTGTCAGTGGTCATCAGTGCCAGCTCTCAGTGCTCATCCATGCCACCTGCCAGTGCCCATCAGTGCCACATCAATGCCACATATCAGTGTCCATCTGAGCTGCCTTTCAGTGTCACTCATCTGTGCCAGTCAGTGCCACCTATCAATGCCAGTCAGTGCCACCTATCAGTGCTGCCAATCAGTGCCGCCTATCAGTGCCGCCTATCAGTGTGCATCAGTGCCGCCTATCAGTGCCAGTCAGTGCTCCCTAACAGTGACTGTCAGTGCCACCTATCAGTGCCAGTCAGTGCCACCTATCAGCGCCATATATCAGTGCTGCCTTTCAGTGCCCATCAGTGATGTCTGTCAATGCCCATCAGTGCCACCTACCATTGCCTCCTCATCAGTGCCACCTATCAGTGTCCATCAGTGCAGCCTATCAGTGCCCATCACTGCAGCCTCATTAGCGCACATCAGTGAAGGAGAAAAATCACTTATTTACAAAATTTTATAACAAAAACTAAGAAAAACTTTTTTTTTCAAAATTTTCAGTGGCTTTTGGTTTCTGTAAGAAAAAATAAAAAAACCCAGAGGTGATTAAATACCACCAAAATAAAGCTCTATCTGTCACAAAACAATTACAAAAATTTCATATGGGTACAGTGTTGCATGACCGCGCAATTGTCATTCAAAGTGTGACAGCGCTGAAAGCTGGAAATTGGCCTGGGCAGGAAGGGGGTATAAGTGCCCTGCAGGCTAGAGGTAAAAGCGATACTAAAGGTTCTTTTTTTTTTTAAATATCAAACATGTTTTACGTACCTGCTCTGTGTCATGGGTTTGCACAGAGCAGCCTGGATCCTCCTCTTCTCAGGCTCCTCCTGTCTGTTGGGGCACTTGCTGCTCCATGTGTCCATTCACAGATGGAGCAGCGGATGGGCCCCACCTCCTCGCTCTCCTCATTGGTTGACTGGCTGTGATTGACAGTAGCAGGAGCCAATGGCTCCTGCCAATGAGGGTGCAGAGACCCGTGACAACTGAGGCTGTCGTGCACATCGCTGGATCGTGGTGGGGCTCAGGTAAGTATTAAGGGGGCTGGGGGCACTGCTGCACACAGAAGGTTTTTTACCTTCATGCACAGAATCCATGAAGGTAAAAAACCTTCAGCCTTAACAATCACTTTAAGAAGAGCTTTTTCCCCCTTTTCGACATTACATTGCGATCTACACAGGTGGAAAAAAATGGGTTTACTTAATTTGTTAGTGTAGCATTAAGATAAGATTAGAGCAGGTTGATGAGGAAACAAATTAGCATGACAGTGACTTTTTCACAGGTTTGCAATCACTAAAAATTCTAATGACAATGCATTCAGTTACGTGAGCTTTTGATGTTTGTGTGCAGTGAATACAAATCTCATCCAGAGCCACATCATTGTTGCAACTTGGATATTCGTTTTGGAAGGGCATATTTTTATTTATTTATTGTATTTATTGTTTTATATACATAAATATAAATTGAGTGATTTAACATGGGTTCACACTGATGCGGTGCGGAATTCGCACCCCGTTTATGCGAACTGCTGTGGGTATGTATGTTAAGTTAACAACCCCCCCTCCTGAAATCGGTCTGCAAAACGCGATGCAATGTGCAGAATTGGATCGTACGGGTGTGAATATCCATGTACGGGTGTGAATATTGATTCTAGTGCGGACCAAAAAAAGGGGTCCTGCACCTTTTTGGTGTGGATGTGGTGTGATTTGAGCCATACAAAATATATGGCTCTAATTGTACCGCACACAATTTGCATGTGATTTGCACAGGAATGCGGTGCGGTTCCTGTGCGAATCACATACAATATACCGCACCACTGGTGTGAACCCAGCCTTAGTCTGCCAATATCAGTAATACTGGTGTAGCACCCTCCTAGGTTAACAATGCTCGGTTCATTTAGTGCGGCCTGGTCTGTAGCCAGGGGAGCTGTGATCTGCTGTTTTGGTCTGTTCTGGCAACACATTCCAGGCATTTGATTGATTCCCTCTGAACTTGTTGAGAGCTTTCCAGAGCTCAGGGCAGGGACATTCAAATGCCTTTCCCTGGAGGAAGGGGAACCTTCTGCTGGAGCATTGTTTTTCAACCCTTTTCCAGTCAAGGCACCCTTTGAAATGATGCACAATCTCAAGGCACCCTTTAAAATTCTCCACAATCTTGAGACATCCACTACAAAATGTGAAAAACTAAACTAATAGTTAGTATTCCATTGTTTCTCTTCTCCTTCAGTTTCCCTCTCTTACTCAGCTAATGTGGCCCCAGTTGAAGACAAAGAACAAATAGAATAACAATAAAGTTCAATGTATATAAGACCACATAGCACTAGGGCAAGCTCTTGAAGCTGTAGCAGGCTCTGGGTAAAGACACAATGAAGAAGAAAAAGCGCCTCTAAGTGCAGTATAAGGACATTTATTTCAGAACAATGGAAAATCACTCACAAGGTAAAAGTATAAAAAAGTACATTGATGACCCAGAGGGGAATGTTTTTTTCTCAGCAAAAGTGGAGATACTCTTTTACATATCAGCCTGCATTGAAAATGCCTGTTCACTCCAAGAAGAAAAATTAGAGTTTAGATTGACTTTAATTTAAATGGAATTTTTAAATATTAGCCTCAGTCTATCTTTGTTGTAGTCTTTTTAATCCCCTGAAATTCAGCATTTAGTCTAGGAGAGGATGACAGTTCTGAAGTTGCGTTTGACCCATTATGCCTCCTGTGGTTTCTCTAGCTGTACCGTGTCCTATTGAAGATGCAATTACATTGCAGGCAAAGTAGTTAAAACACAGGATTTTGTGTTTAAACACATAAATTTGAGCTGTGCTTTGAATGTAAAAGTCTTCATTATGGTGGCCATACGCACTTTGATTTAAATAGCCAATCTTTGTGCAATTTAATCAAAATGACTAAATAAGCAAATAATTGAATAGCCATAACTTCTCTTCTGGTCAATTTAGATTCAATTTAAATTGTATTTTCTCAAACTGAGTATATCTGTCAGTGCAGAAAATTATCGGTCATCCGCATCGATTGGCAGCACTCAGAAGTTTAGTCATGAATCCGATCATATTTCCATCAATCAGATTATAAGATTGTATAGTGGAACCAGAGATGCCATTGATAACTTATGATCATGTTGTCCAACTATCCATTGAAATTCTCTTTCCTGTATATAGCGTATCGATTAATTGGGTTGTCGATTATAGATTGACTATTCCTATGATGAGTGTGTAAGCCCACTATTTGACAGCAAAGTGTGTAAGCCCACTATTTGACAGCAACACCCATCACAAGCCCTAAAGATAATTTTCTTCAACTCAAACAGTGGTTGAACCACCACACACCTGCTGACCACTCAATAAAATACATTTGACTAGAGTTCTCCTTGACATATATAAGTTTTGAGTACAAATGTGCATAGATTTCTCTAACATTTTAAACCACCTATAACTCATGGATGTTACACATCAAAGGCCTATTAAGTCAAGTTAATGTGCCTGATATAAATCTGCCTTCACTTTTGAGCTGATAGCCTCTAAGTACCATAAATTGGAAAATATTTCAATGTGGGAAAAATAATTAGCTCTTAATATCTCATTTGCATGTTCTTCTGTATCAAAAATAACTCATATTGCCAATTAAAAAGATAATTATTTCAGCTTTATTGTTTTCTACATTCTGACTTGACTTAATTGGTAGATAAATAAGCGACGTTAATATTCTTACTGCCAATGTTTCAGTGAATGTCCTGTAGGGAAATGAGGCTAATAGATTTTCCATGAAGGGCTTGATGTAATAAAAAAGCTGGAGAGTATAATGTTATATAGAAGACATAGTGAGGGTGTATACCTTCACAGACTGATGTCCTCTAGAAGTGACTTACAAAAGAAAGCCAGACATTGATACATGTTTTTTATTACCATTTTACCTTAGGGGACTTATTATCAGAAACATTTACCTTTCTTACTTTGAAAGTTCTACAGTATGTGAGATTCATCCTTACAACCATCACTGAAATACTAAACCACAAAGAAGGTATGAACAAATGGACTAAAAGGTTTTTTTTGTATTGAATTATATTGTAACTGTACTATCTACCATTTATTTTGTAAATTGCTGCACAAACTGTTGCCGCTTTATACAGTACTGTGCAAAAGTTTTAGGCAGCTGTCAGAAATGCTGTAAATTAAGAATACTTTAATAAAAGTGTTAATAGTTTATTTTTATCAATTAACAAAATGAGTACAAATGGAAATGAACAGAAGAGAAATCCAAATCAAACTGATACTTGGTGTGACTACCCTTTGTCTTCAAAACAGCATCAGTTCCTCTACAGTAGGTACACAGTTTTTAAAGGAACTCAGCAGGTAGGTTGTTTCAAACATCTTGGAGATCTTCAGTGGATGTAGGCTGCCTCAAATCCTTCTGTCTCATTATGTAATCCCAAACCATCACTTTTTCAGGACCCCTTGTTCTTCTTTACACTGAGAATGGTTCTTAATGACATTGGCTGTATATTTGGGGTTTTTGTCTTGCTGCAGAATAAATTTGGAACCAATCACATGACTCCCTGATGATACGTCATGGTGGATAAGTATCTGAAAGGCACAGTCTGGGATTACACTTCGCACCCTAGCAAGCTGGGACAGGTTGATGGTTGTGCAATTGATCTTGACAGAGAGGTCAGGGGAAAGGGCACAAGGGGGAGGACATATTAGGAGCTCTGTTTTGGATATATTGAGTTTGAGGAAGTGGTGTGACATCCAGATTGATATGTTGGTCAGTTAATTAATGATGTGTGAAGAAACTGATGTTGTGAGCTGAGGGGTAGAGAGAGAGATTTGGGTGTTGTCATGGACAGGGTAACAGCTGACCTAGGGAGGAGGTGTAAATTGAGAATATAGAGAGGTCCAAGAACAGAACCTTGTGAGATCCTGACAGAGAAAGGAAGAGGAGAGGAGGAAGTAGAATTGTAAGTGACACAGAAAGTGTGGTGGGATAGGTGGGATGAGAACCAACAAAGAGTACACTCACATAGACCCAAGGAGGGGGTGATCAACTGTATCAAAGGCAGTCAAAGGTCCAGAAGTAGGAGTACAGAATAGTGTCCATTGGTTTTAGCTGTTTGTACACTGTTGTAAGTTTTAGGAGGGCAAAGTCCAGACTTTATTGGATCAAAAAGGTTATTGTTAGTGAGGTGGTTACTTAGTTGATTGTGGACCAGACGTTCAAGGAGTTTGGAAGAAAAGGGGAACAAGGAGATGGGGTGTAGGTTGTTAAGGTTGGTGGGGTCCAATGAAGGCTCTTTTAAGTATGGAGGTGACTAGTGCATGTTTTAGAGTTGGGAAAGATGCCAGAAGAGAGGGAGAGATTGAAGATGTGAGTTAGAGAGTATAGGAAAGAGCCAGAGAGTGACTGTGGTATTTGAGAGGGGACAGGACCCAGGCGGCAGGTGGTTAGGCAGGCATTAGAAAAAGGTTTATCAACCTCGTCTATAGTAGTGGAATTGAATAAGGGAAGTGTTGGGTGTACTTGTGGACTTAGGGTGTTAAGTAGGGGCGATATGTGTACAGTGGAGAGTTCATCATGAATTGTATCGATCTTAGTTATGCTGTTTTAAAAGCAAAGGGTGGTCACACCAAATATTAGTTTCATTTGGATTTCTCTTCTACCCATTTCCTTTTTATTACTCATTTTGTTGATTGATAAAAATAAACTATGAACACTAATTTTTTCTGAAAGCATTCCTAATTTACAGCATTTTTTCACACCTACTGAAAACTTTTGCACAGTACTGTATATACTGTATATAAATATACTGTACAGTTGTGTTCAAAATAATAGCAGTCAGACATCACTAACCTGATCAATCACTGTTTTTGGTAGAAATGATATTTCTACATGGCAACTAATTTACTAGCAGGTGTAGTAGAGTAATAGAAATCCAACAGACCCAACAGTCATGACATGCATGCTGCTGATTCTGTGTAATTGAATCACTAATTGAAAGGGACATGTTCAAAATAATAGCAGCGTGCAGTTGTATTAGTGAGGTCATTCATTCTTTGAAAAACAGGTGGCAATTATTGCCCTTATTTAAGGAAGGAAGGCAGCAAATGTTGTACATACTGGTTACAGTGCAGTTGAAAAATTGTGTGTTGGCAGCCAGTTGATTTCATTGGGCAGCCTTAACACAACACATGTTAACGTGTGACATGATGTACATTAAAGCAGAGCAAAAACATAAAGGGAGCCCTTAATATCAGAGTTTCATTTAAATGCCAATATTGCCGTTGTGTAATGTATACATATTTGCATAAGCTGAATAGCACAGACATGCACTCAAACTCAGCATGTCCTAATTTTTTTAAAATATGGCATTTTGTGCCACATAGGAATGAGAAACTCTTAGCTACTTAGCTTAGTAGAAAAGGTGGAGCGGCTTTCACTCTGAAAACTGAAACATGCGCGTGAGAAATATTAAAAAAAAAAAGGATTTTTGCATGCACTTGATTGGATGATTAAAAAAACATATTCACCTTATTCATTAAGATAAACATTCATTTTGATAAGTAAGCATTCTCGATTGCTTTAATACAGGGGTCTCCAAACTTTTCAATTCAAGGGCCAAATCATATATTTTACAAATATTTGCAGGCTGAAAAAAAATCTTTTTTTCTAAATGAACAAAATACAAAATTAAATTAACAACATTTAAATGAATAAATTACTTTTACTTGGCATATTTTTTTCAATCAGCATGATGTGATTTAAATCAGTAGAAAAAAACTGTAACAAAGCAAAGAAATTCCAAATAAACTTGAGCCTATCGGAGCTCCCTTACATCAGAGTCCCCCTTATGTCAGAGTAACCGCTAACATCAGAGTCTCCATCAGAGCCCCCCTTCACACCCCCTTACTTCAGAGTCTCCCTGACATCAGTAGCCAGATAAAATCTTGCAGGGGGCCCACTTGTAGTTTGAAGACCCCTGCTTTAGTAAATCAACATTTGCTTCTGTCCAGTACTGCAGACCAAGGCTCTTTCCTCGCGGATCCTCCTATCTCATTGCAAGTCTGCTTCACAGGGTCTATTTAAACAAAAACCTTAGACCCGCCACAGTCTCTATTTATTAGAATTGCCTACAATGCTCCTGGCATCAAGAAGACGTGATCTTTCATATAGAAGCTTAGGGGCATTTTAATTCATGCCATAAATAATATATGATTTGATAATACAGATACATGTTCATTTGATTTATGTGAAGTGTGCGGTTTAATGACAGGGCTGCTTTATCATAAACTACTGTCTATCTGGACCATTAAACATACAATTGTGTTACTGTAACCATTTTTATTTCCAGTTTTATTTGAATTTATGCTGTGCACAGTACACTGGCCTGGGCAGCCTCTTCTGATTCAATTTCAGCATCTCCTTTTATCAGTAACCTGAACAATTAGATTTCCCAGCAAGTCCCAGCTGACAGCGCAGTTGTGTAGAAGTCCTAAATTATCAGCTTATAGGCTACAAATGAGATCAATTCAGAATATTCATGGCGTGAAAAGAACTCTCGCACGTATATTGATAGAGTGACTGTGAGCTGGGGTCGGGCACATTTCATTATTTATCAATATAACTTCTCCATAAATATTTGGCTGAGGTCCTATGTCTGGTTTCTGTTTCTTCAGGCTGGAAATGTTCTTTAAATCAGTCTTTTTAAACTATTTTAACACCTTTCCTTTAGATACTTCAGTCTTTCTCAAATGTAAGTCCAGCTTCGTTCAGTGAACAAATCGTTCTCTGTGCCTGATCAAGGTAGACCTGGGGAATTGTGCAGAGGCAGACAAGTAACTAGCATCGTACAGCCACATTTGTATTGATATACATCACATTGAAAGCAGACTTTTAATCTCTTTACATGAGAGTAGTAACAGGTAAAAAAAAGACAAGTCTATTGAGTTCAACCAATAAAAATAGTTTAGGAATAGGGATGAGCTTGGGTTCTGTTTAAACTCAAGCTCATCCCTATTTAGGAACAGGAACATACTGTGCATTCAGACTTCTTGTGATCCAGGTCTTCTGCATTTAAGAGACATATGGCTAAAATGTTAAAACTGATGTTTAGTGATCTGTGCCAAGGACAGTACTTATATGAATGAGGAGCGTTCCGTGTGTTGGTGGTTGCTGTGTTTATTAATTTATTACAGGTACTTATATAGAGCCATCAATTTATGCAGCACTTTACATGTATATTGTACATTCACATCAGTCCCTAACCCTCAAGGAGCTTACAATCTAAGATCCATAACTCACATTGATACATACAGATACTAGATCCAATTTAGACAGGAGCCAACTAACCTACCAGCATGTCTTTGGAGTGTGGGAGGAAAACTGGAGTAACCGGAGTAAACCCACACAGGCACAGGTAGAACATGCAAACTTCAGGCAGGTGGTGCCATGGTTGGGATTCGAACCAACGACCCTAGTACTGCTAGGTGAAAGTGCTAACCATTTAGCCACTGTACTGCCCATTTATTAAAATATTAAGTCCTCTGCCCTTATACCCCCCCCTAGTGGTGATCATCTGGTGCTGTGGGGCTTAACCTGAGCAGCTCAGTTTGTCACAGGCACACGTCAAAAGTTCAAACTAGGCCAACTTTTTCACTTCATTCATAGAAGCTGTGCAATCAGTTCCTGCAAGGAAAAACACTTTATGAATGGATAGGGAGTACTTTTCATTCATCTACCGTCCTCCATTCATAGAGTACTTTTCATTATGAGAACTGATTGTACAGCTTCTATGAATGGAGCAGAGGGGTGGACAGGTATAGTCTGCACTCTGGTGAGTGTCTGTGACAGGTGGAACTGCTCAAATTAATTTTGCACACAGCTGGTATCTTCCGGTGTTGGGGGAGTATCTGAGAGGCTGAAGATATCAAGGAACAAAGAAGCCACCAGCACAGAGAACACATCATTCATGCAAGTACTGTCCCTGGTGATGAATTTAAAAAAAAATCAATTTTACGATTTGATTTGTAAGGAATGATTATTACGGGCCCATTCACATTATGTGCATCTTCCCCTGAAAATTCCGAAGTTATTAATGTGGACTTTTTCCATTGTACAATTCTTCTTCCAGCCCGTGTGATGTCCTGCACAGTCCCGGCCACCCATCATAGGCATGCTCCCTATAAGGCCTCATACACACTGGACTTTAATTCCAACTCTCCTAGCTAGCAGTGTTTTTGCAGAAAAAATGCCTGACACTTGTATAAGTGTCTAACACTTTTACAAGCATTTAGGCGCATTTACAGGCGTCAATCACTAAGGTTTTTGGGCCATTGAAATGAATTAACACTCAAGATCTAAAGGTGCCTAGGGTTAACACACATCTAGGCGCATTGAGATGCGTTTACAAGTGTCAAGCATTTTTTCTGCTGAAACTCTGCTGCTCCTGGACACACTGGCAGAAGGGGTTTTTCCTGCCTCTAACCTCTCCTGCCACTAAGCGCTGCTAAACGTCTATGGGTGCATGGACATATAGGATAACATGGAGGGGCGTTTGGAGGTAGGAAAAAAAAAACGCCAGACGCCCCTAGGAGCAGCTGCAAAAATGTCCTGTGTGCATGTGGTCAAAATTTCATCACTACACTGTGACTTGTAAAACAACCCACACAGTTTAAAATAGAAATGAAAGAAATAAAATGTGTGTATACATAAATAAAATCTAAATACCTTTTTTTTTCCTTTTTTATAAGTGATCACTTTCCCTCTGTTCTCAGCTGCATAAGGAGCTTGGAGAGAAGCACACTGAACTTTCCAGTAAATGGTTGTGCAGGGGAGGTGTGTCAGGACAAGTCTGATCCAGGGGCGGACTGACCATTTAGCCACTCTGGCACTGCCCGAGGGCCCAGGGTCAGTAGGGGGCCCCATGAGATGCCCCTGGTACCTTTCATTAGCTTTTTCATAGGCTTTTTTTTGGTGTGGGCGAGGACACGGGGCCCTAAAATCCCCTATTGCCCGGGGGCCCCATGAGTTGTCAGTCCGCCCCTGGTCTGATCATTGCAGGAGAGCAGGCTGAGTTCCATGCACAGCCAGAAAACTGACCACGCTGTGCTCTGCTATGGAAACACCAGGGATTTCACATAAAAAACAATACGACAGAGAACAGGATACTTTTTCATACAAGTACATGGTACAGCAGGCACATATCAGGAATTTGAAATGTTGGGTTTCCCAGTTGCTGAAGTCCCTAGATCTACTCAGACTCTCATATACTTTATGTTCCTGGCGGCTAAAATTGCAATTGCGACAGCCTGGAAAAGTCCAGTGGTGGACGTATCATTGATGAAACATGAACTTTTGTGGATCATGGTTAGCGTCTTACGTGATACCACCAGTAGGTCTGAGCGCATTTGGACCACGTGGATTAATTATTTTAATACTATACATGCTCCTGGCATGCAGGTATCTTCTTTCGCTCCTCTTTCTTTCTTTTTCTTTTTTTGTGCCTATTGTTTACTGATGCTACCTGGAGCAGATTTGAGGCGATAGTATATTTGGGCTGAACCCCCTGATTCTTGTTTTTTTCTCTCCCCTTGTTTTTAATCTTGCTTTTTGAGTTTGCTTCATCTCATGTGTATGTGCTATCTGTATGCTCCTTATGTATCTCGTTGCAAGTCTTCTTTGCACTTGCCGTCAAAGGTCCATTGTCTTTTTTTGTGTCAAATATTTGTCTGTTCATTTTCAATAAACACATTGAAACAGAAATATTGGGTTTACATATTCTTTAATATCCTCCAACCATCTGTGCATTGCTGGAGGCATGGATAGACATGGAAGGTCATATGACCTTCAAACAAAAACATTTTTCGTTTACAAACATGTTACATTTACTAAAAGCTTTTAAACACATTTTGTTAAAATTTGTGTTGGGGTGGGGGGGGGAGGGAAGAGCAAAAAGAACCACAGATTCTGGAGTTCTACATATGTCCTGTCTATTTTTCCAGGTCCACCACTTTTGCAACCTAAATCAAGACTGTCCCACCAAAAATGGAAGCAGAGGGATATTTGTTGTAAATAGACTGGCTTCAACAAAGCACATCTTCTGCACATAGAGAGGAATCTTTTATCCTTACCACTCCCGCTCACTAATTTGTTCTCTCTGTATATTTCTTTCATCAGCAGGATTTCTTTTTCAGCTGTGAAGTCATTTTCCTCTTGCTATCACTTTCTTTTTATACTGCTCCCTTTAGGAATAACAAGTGGAAAAGTTCAGAGGTGGAAGGTTTTAATGTAGACACCTGTTATTTAACATCAAAGCAATAACAAGCTGTTGATGGAAAACTTGGGATGTCACAGGGGCCAGTGGGACCATGGCAAAACATTTAAATGCAAGCTTTGTGATTTACAGTTCTGACACGTTACATATAGCGTAAAAAGGACTTTTTTTCATTGCCATAATGTTACTCCCAGACAGGTCTTTAGTAATAATTTATATAAGCGCTAGTCTGGAGTTCAGAATAATAGCTTTTTGTAGTGTGTTACAAAGGGACAAGGTATATCTTTTTGCCAGGGCCAGATTTTGTAATCACTACAGCTTTCAGCAACAAGAGTTCTGATACCCTCAGCACCTACCCCATCGGTCCCTATTTTCAAAGTGTTTGAAACAAGCCTTTTTTGTATTGTAAATAGCAGCCTAAGAGGTTGTATTTCATGCCCTCTGTACTGTATAGAAGAAGAAAAGTAGCAGACAGTTCATATGTCTGTTTCATGCCCTCTGTACTGTATAGAAGAAGAAAAGTAGCAGACAGTTCATATGTCAGATCCTTTGATAAATAATGTCGGGTCATGTGTTTTCAATTAACACATTTTTGAACAATATACAAAAATATAAAAATTAAGCAATATAATTAATGATTAAAAAAAAAGTAATTGATATAAAAATGTGTTGATGTGTAAGACCTCAGGGGTGGATATGTTTGTTTCTGCTAAACTTCCAAACAGTGGTTTGTGGGGCTGTCTTACAGGCTCCTTGGAACTTGTCATATTTTGTCATATTCTGGGTTTATATTGGTATTGTTACTGGATTGTATCTTTCTGCCTGCGTATAATTCACTGGATAGGAATTGCACTGTACCTGAAACTTATGTGATGGAATGCTATGATACTATTTGTTTATGCTTTTTGGTCTGTATATTCAATATTTTATCTGAGAAGTACCAATAAAAATTTGTATGGAAAAAAATGAATTGACTTGATCACATTCCTTTTTTGTTTGCTTGGTTTCATCAATTTATATATTAATGTATATTTATGATGTACATGGAAGTCTTTGGCTAGCTTAATGCAACCTATATTTTTTATATGTTTTAATATATAACAATTATGATGAATTGTTGTAGACTCATATTCTATGTATATGATCAGTTAGGTGGTGGTGTTCTTAGAATGAGATCATGGTCTCCATATCATCAACAGACTGATGTTTAGTCAATTAAGGAAATAATAAGTATTGAACATATATAGTTTATGTGAATGTTTGAAGACCATTCCAAGTAAGTGCCGATTGGCATGAAAGCCATTAAAAACCTAATTTATGTTGTATCCTGTCATGGAAATTTTTTATTAATAAGGTGAGAAAGGCTCCGTCATTCTGGAGTGCCATCATCCGTTTATATTTGCAATAGACAGGAAATTTGTTACAGAAAAAAATCACCAAGCAAAATTTAAGAAGTAAAAGCCTGAAAAGGCTAAAGGAGCCAACACATCCATAGATTGGTAACCTGCAGTATACAACATTTTTGTTCTTGGGTATAGATATCTTTTGATAATAATAATTTGTATTACAGATTCATTAAAATAGACTGAATTGAATGAAAGTAATTCAACTTGCATTAATACACCAGCCATTGAATATTCAGTTGTATTTGTTAAACTCAAATGTCAGGGGCTGTCAGGAATGGACTCAGCACTGGTGGTGGGACTCGCCTGCCGTGTGGGCTGCAGTACCAGAGCTGACCAGCGGGTGCTCTCAGCACTGGTGGTGGAACTCACCTGCCGTGTGGGCTGCAGTACCAGAGCTGACCAGCGGGTGCTCTTAGCAGCCAGAAGCTCACAATCAGCCAAACCTGGGACTGATTACAGAAAGGTGTATATAAGGCATGACCAGGCCTGTGCTCTGGGCCTTGGTATATGGTTTCCCATGAGCCGCTGTACCCTGTGTTCCTGCTTCGTTGCTGACCCGGCTTGATCCTGAAGTCTGTTGACCGTCTCCTGTTCTGACTACTGGCTCATCCCTGACTATTCTTCTGCCTACTCCTATGCTGTTTGACCTCCTGTTGTGTACCTTGGCTTGTGACCCATTTACTCTTTGCCTGCTGCTCTGTACTGATCTGCCTCCACCGTTACCGACCCAGCTTGTCTGACCACGCTAACTACTCTGCCATCCATCCATCCTGCACAGATCCAGCCGTACCTGCACATACCTCTGGCGGATCCCTCTACCACTAGCAGGTGTACTCCGGGGCCGCGACCTGGTCTCAGTCCTGCGCCAAGTCCATCCCCACCATCAGGGGCTCTGGTGAAAAGGCAGACTGGGGCTTAGACTCCGTGCCCTGGGGAATCCTGCCCTGAGGACCGTTAGAGGTATTACCACCAAACGGTCATTACAGAACCCTACGGCCGGCCTGACCGTTCCACCTCTCCAGCCCTGACTATGCCTGTGTTCCTGCACCTCCTAAAGATTAGTGGAAGGTTGGTTTGCTCACTGTGCGTTTATATAGATATATATCTGGGTGGCTAATAATAACCTGTATTATACTATACCTGAAACCTGCGTTTCCCTGTGTCAGTCCACACCTTTCTGGTCATTCCTTGATTCCTGACATCACACCAAGGCCCAGAGCACAGGCCTGGTCATGCCTTATATACACCTTTCTGTAATCAGTCCCAGGTTTGGCTGATTGTGAGCTTCTGGCTGCTAAGAGCACCCGCTGGTCAGCTCTGGTACTGCAGCCCACACGGCAGGTGAGTTCCACCACCAGTGCTGAGAGCACCCGCTGGTCAGCTCTGGTACTGCAGTCCACACGGCAGGCAAGTCCCACCACCAGTGCTGAGTCCATTCCTGACAGGGGCAGACATTCATATCTTTTACTTGGACATTCAACAACCCATGTATGGATACCTGTAGAATTGGACATTTTTGTAAAAGTGATCCTCTAGTACCAAAAAAAGCTAACAAACTAAACTTACATGAGACACCAATAGTGGGGGTTTCATATCTGTTCCAAGGATTCCCATACACTCCTCAGTCCTCAGCTTCACTCTGACATGCCCCCAACCATTCCAGGACCCAAAGCAGTTATCTCAGTAGCTGATAGAGATGCACAACATTAGGTTGTGAGCAGTGGCGGACTGACCATTTGGAAACTCGGGCACTGCCCGAGGGCCCAGGGTCAGTAGGGGACCCCATGAGATGCCCCTGGTACCTTTTTCATAGGCTTTTTTGAGTTTGGGCAAGGACACAGGGGCCCCATGATCCCCTATTGCCTGGGGGCCCCATGAGTTGTCAGTCTACCCCTGGTTGTGAGATAGCAGGGGACATGGCAGATCTTTAGGATGGAATGGTGAAGTGAGGTAAACTGCAGCAATAGGCTGGTACCAGCTTATGGGGCATCACTAGCAGTTAGATCAAGTTTGACTGAATGAAAGAGACATAACATTATTGGTAAAAACAGCTGGATCAGACAATGGTTGCCTGTGGCTACCTATAGTTGGCTTTTCGTGCTGAAGGTTCACCTTAAACCCAACTGGTTGTGTGTATACATACGAACAATAAAATCAGTAAATGTTCAGTGTTTCATACTATGCTGCATCAGAGAAAATGGTTAAAAACAAAAGCAGCTAGGAAAGAACTAATATTGCTGAGGTAAAAACAAATCTAATCCCCAGCTTGAAATTTGAGGACAAGCGAAGAGCCGTACAATGTAATTGCCTATTTGCTGGATTTCAGGATTAAGGGAATTTATTCTCTCATTTCAGACGAGCCGCACTTGTGAGAGCGAAGTACAAATCCAGCTCACTGAACCATGCCCCTCCAGCTTCAGTAATAAGGATAGGGTTTGCACAGCTCCTCTGCTCGTGCCAATTAATCATGTCCCTTAAACAATGTTGACAGAAGCTTGTTTCTCATTAAGCCGTCTAAAAGAAGAACTACAGACCTCTCCCATGGGACACATAAGAAAAGAGAGAGCTTACTAGTTTTCAGACACAGTTCAAAGCTATCATAGACGGGAGTCAACAAAGCTAAAACAATCCATGAATTTTTTCCAGGAGTATAATTCATATGCAAGAAATACCCAGGCAGATGGGTTATACACATCTACATGATAATAAATACACATAGATTGTCTTGTGTTTCTATAGAATAACAACAACTGAACTGCTCCTTGTTGTGGTTTGTTTGGATGGCCTATTGCATGGCCTTGTTTGCCTCAGGGTAACAAGATACATGAAATAGTGACACGGTATGATTACAGGTGCTTACTATGCCATAATTTTACATCATAAGCAGTCAAGTTCTCTGCTGCTGTATAAGCTGTCCTAGTTTTGTCAGTGAGAGAGATTTCCTGATGTACCTCCACCTCCACCCAGTACCTCACTCACTGCTCACGAGATTGCAAATCATTTCAAAAACAAGATTGACGCAATTCGTAGGGGCATTGCCACTGCACAGACATCCATCCCACTTAGCATACCTTATACTAAACCTCACTCAACACTTTCCTCTTTTGATCTTGCTACTACCTAAGAGGTCACTAAGGTTTTCTGAGAAGCCCATCTCACTACCAGCCCCCTGGATCCTGTCCTCTCACAACTACTACTGTCACCCTCTTCTTCCATCCTATGCTCCCTCACTCACATCTTCAATCTTTCCCTCTCTACTGGTGCCTTCCCCTCCCCTCTAAAACGTGCACACATCACTCCCATACTTAAAAAGCCCTCCCTGGACCCCACCAACCTGAACAACCTAAGACCCATCTCCTTGCTGCCATTTACCTCTAAACTTAGTCCTAGAACTGCCCTACTAAAACTCACTAATGATCTACTAACAATGATCTACTAACAGCTAAAACCAATGGCCACTACTCCATACTCTTACTACTTGATCTCTCTGTGGCTTTTTATATGGTTGACCATCCCCTCCTCCTCAAAAAACTCCACTCTCTTGGCCTCAGAGACTCTGCTCTCTCCTGGTTCTCCTTCTGCCTATCGCAGCGCTCCTTCATCATTACCTATAACGCTGCCTCCTCCTCTTCACTCCCCTCTTTCTGTAGGGGTCCCTCAAGGTTCTGTCCTTGGACCCCTTCTCTTCTCCATCTACACCTCCTCCCTTGGTCACTTGATAAACTCCCATGGCTTTAAGTACCATCTCTATGCTGATGACACACAAATCTATCTTTCTACCCCTCACCTCACCTCTTCAGTCTCCTCTCACATTACTAACCTACTAAGTGACATATCGGCATGGATGTCACTCCACTTCCTCAAACTCAATCTTTCCAAAACTGAGCTCTTAGTATTCCCCCCATCCCGTGCCCCCTCCCCTGACTTCTCCATCAAGATCAATAACACAATCATCAGTCCCTTCCCTCATGCCAGGGTACTAGGTGTAATCTTAGACTCCTATCTGTCCTTTCAGCCCCAAATCCAATCACTGTCCAAATCTTGTAGACTTCACCTCCGCAACATCTCCAGGATACGCCCATTCCTAACCTTGGAAACCACTAAGCAACTTATTCACTCCCTTGTTATATCTTGCCTTGACTATTGTAACTCCCTGCTCATTGGCCTACCTAATCGCAGGCTATCCCCTCTTCAGTCTATCATGAATGCTGCTGCTAGACTCATCCACCTTACTAACCGTTCTGTATTTGCCACCCCTCTCTCTGCCAATCCCTCCACTGGCTTCCCATTGCCCAATGGATAAAAATTCAAAACATTAACAATAACGTATAAAGCCATTTATAACTCTGCCCCAAATTACATCAACAATCTTGTCTCTAAATATCACCCAAACCGTACTCTCCTCTCAAGACCTACTGCTCTCTAGCTCCCTTGTCTCCTCCTCCCATGCTCGTCTCCAGGACTTCTCCAGAGCTTCCCCCATCCTCTGGAACTCTCTACCCCAATTTATCAGACTATCACCTACTCTGCTCACTTTTAGGTGATCTCTGAAAACCTATCTCTTCAGGGAAGCCTATCCAGCCTTCAGCTAATAATGGGATCTTCTACTCTTCCAACCAGTCCATCTCCCACAGTTACTGCCTTTTGTACCACTAGCCCCTCCCTCCTAGATTGTAAGCTCCAAGGAGCAGGGCCCTCCTATCCCTCTTGTATTGAACTGTATTGTTGCTGTATTGTCTCTCGTTATATTGTAAAGCGCTGAGCAAACTGTTGGCGCTATATAAATCCTGTATAATAATAATAGTCCTGGCCTATGCAAGTGGTTGAATCATCTCCTTTCTCTTCAGGATTGTCCTAAATAGAGCTGGATTTACTTCACTTGAGCTTGTGGTAAGGCTGTCATTTGGACAGCTGTTGTCTAATTGCTCTTGAACATTGGCATCTGCCCTGCGTTATTCCATGCTGTTCAATGGTAGCTTGTCTCATTGTGGTTCAACCACTCAGCCACATTTAAATAGAAGAATCATTAACCTTTATAGTACTTAACTGCAAAAGCTGTTTGTGTAGTAGGAAATGATGGGTCTGTAAAATTCCTAAATATGTGCAGTGGGTTGTTGTGACTTAGCGTGTACTTTATAGAAAATGCCAGGTCTCAATAGCTAAAGGCTGTACCATTACATGGCATGCATTTTGAGGTCTAAGGGGATTTTTTTTTAGGTTTATACCCCCTTAGTAATGCATGGGGGAAACAGGAGAGTAGCTTACAGCATGGAACGTACATGTATGTGAAAGCCATGTGGGATGATGTTAGAGGGAGCAGTAGTCAAAAACAGCTCTGGCCAAAGACACTCTTGATGCTAAGTCAAGTTATCAATTCTTCATCCCATATTCTTTCTGAAGATGCAGAAATGGCCGTGTTATCAGGACATATAAAGTCAACTTACACTATAGGAAAAAAAGATTTTGCTTGTAAACATTCAGAAAACCAACCGCTCTTGCCTACATATTTTTGTCTCTACACAAGACTGTGTGAATGTTCTTACCATCTACTTTTACTTTCCAAATGTAAAGAACTTGCTTCACAAAGTAAGGGGAAAGTACATATCAAAAGGTAGTCCTGGACTGTCTGACCCAAGACCATGGGTACTAGGTACTAAGATTTAAGAGCTGTATGCAATTTAAGTTACCCCCCTTTAAAAGAACTTGTCAGAGATTACAACAGACCTGTCTTGTACACCCATGAGGGAAGCTAAATGGTCCTCTATACCAGAAGTTCCAAGCTGAATAGAGCAGAGGGAGAATTAAATAAAGGTAAGCTTGGGCTGCTGGAGCGGGAGGAAATTAAAATAAACCTGCTGCATGGCCCTGCATTCGCAGGGAACTTGTTTGTGGTTTGCCTGTGTGCAACCCTGATCCTTTCAACATTTTCAATGTCATTCGGAGCATAAACTGGTAAAAAAGCAAAACATAAAAATGCAAAAAAAAAGTGTACAAGGTGTTTACATTTCTTTTAAATTTTATTTATGCATCTCCTCTGTGGGCACACCCTAGGAGGGAATGCAAGGCAAACACTTTCAGTATATGCAGCTTGCCTTGGACACTATGGGGTTTATTTGCTAAAGCTGGGTGGTGCAAAATCAGGTTTACTTCTGCATAGAAACCAATCAGCTTCCAGGTTTTATTGCCAAAGCTTAATTGAACAAGTTGAGGTCAGAAAGTGAGTCTGATTTTGCACTCTCCATCTTTAGTAAATAAACCCCTATAAGTTGTTCATACCGATGGATTTTCAGAACAGTGTGGCATGAACGAAAAGGAGTCTAATGAAATGTGTGCTAGCTGGGGGAACGGCAGTTGTTAGTAGTGATTACCAAAAAGAGTTGTATTACTGGAAAGTACCATATAAAACCTGGGTAGGACTATTCCCAATGTAAGGGTCGTATAAAAAAAACAAGAAACAAGTTACTAACATTTGTTAGATAAGTGCAACCAAAAAGGAAATGCGGAACAAAGATAACCATTGTATGGCCACATCATCAAACAGCTAATACAAAAATGTTGGAAGCCCAGTTTCTTCCATATTGATGAGCCATAATCATCATCACACATGTGGTAGGAGTAGGACCTGGCAGTGAAGCACTCTCGTGGGCAAGGAGGAAAGATATTTCACCAGGTGGGCTGCTCTCAGGGCGATTGGAGGTCCACTTAAAAACCAAAGTGCAGCTGTTCTTTAAAGCCTAACTACAGGTTTACTTTCACATTTAATAGTTTTGTTGTCATCTGCTTGCCTCTCCACCTCAACCAATCAGAGGAAGTCTTGTATTCATTGACAAAATACAAGGCTGCCTGGGAATGACTGAGCATCTCTCAGCCCGACTTGATTTTGTTCCGGCAACAGA